TGGCTTATTTTTCAGAAGTGGATCACCAGACCTTTCTTCTGAGGCACCTTTGGATAGAATCGAACCACCAACCTTTTGGCTAGCAACCGGGCGACTTATAACATTTGTACCACCCAGGGACTCCCATCCAACAATAGGGAATTGGGTAAATAAATCGTGTATTGCAATGCAATAGAAGGTTATACAACTGTCAAAATATTTATGAAGAATTTGTAGAGACACGGAATACAACATTAAGTGAAATAAGCAGAATGTAACACCACCAGGGCTCCTATACTATATATAGTGTGACCTCAGCTATCTATTTTTAGAATAAAGCCTGGAAGAAAATATTGCAAAATACCGATAGTGGTTGTCTCTGTGTAAGATTATGGTTGCTTTTCTTTTGTTGTTGTAATTTTATGTTTTTTTTTTTTAATTATACATTGAGCATGTATGCCTCTTGTAATCAGAGAAAAGGTGACTTTAAAAAATTAATCGGGCTATGACTACCAGATGATGGTTCTTTGCCTCAGTTTGAGTGTGTAATGGGGAATTTGATTTTTAGACAACATGTGGTTGGTAGAGGTGAGTCCTGGGCTGGGGTCGGGAGAGGAATCTTTTAGGAAAAGAAGATTCTCTTAAAGGGAAGCCTCTGAGAGGGGTCAGTGAGCCAGCTCTGAAGAGGGCCATCCCCCTGGCCTGGGAGCCCTGCTGAGCCGGCTGCAGACGCGGGGCCTTCCTGAGCCTTGCTCTGGTGCTAGATGCCGATTGGCTGCCACTTGGCCTCAGAGCACCACTAACATTTTTCTTGGTGCTGTCTCTGCAGATAGTTAACCTTTGGTTATACTTGCCTTGACTTAATAAGATGAGTTAATTGAGTAATTATTCATTCACCAGGTGCAAGAATGATGTCACATAAGATAATCCCAGACGTAATTTAATGGCTTCTCCTGACCAGAGACTTGTGCTTGGTTTTGCATATTCTACTAAAAGAAATGGTTTGCAAACAACACCTGCCTATTCATTAATAAAATAAAGCTGATTGTCACACAGTGAGGCTGTTTATTATAACTGTCAACCAAAGCTTTCTACCCTATATATATATAAAAATTTATTTTGAACCTCTCTGTCGTAAGCCAGCATATTTACATTTATGGCAGTTAGGATGCTTTCAACTGCAAACAAAGAATATCTGATTTTTTTAAAGTGGCTGCAATAATGGTTTATTAATTTCACATGTCAAGAATCTAGGTTGGTGGGCAGTTCATCAAGGTGGCCAGTGACCCAAGCTCTTTCCTTTTTATGCTCTCCCACCCTTAAGATCTTCAAGAGCATTGACCATGCTTCTCCTCATGGTCATAACATGGTTGCCAGAGCTGCACGCATCCTGTCCTTATACAGCAGCATCCCAAGCAGGAAGGAGGAGAGGGCATCAGCACAAAAGGCCTTCTTGTCACTTGCTTCCCTCTAGCCAGAGAAGAAATCTCTTTACCAGAAGCTCTTGGTGACCCAAATTGGGTCCCACAGCCACCTGTAGACTAGTCACTAGCAAACTGGAGCAGTATTGCCATCATTGGTGTCATGGTTTGAATTACGTCCCCCCCCCAAAATGTGTATATCCGTTTGTCTGGGCCATGATTCCTGGTACTGTGTGATTTTCCTATACTTTGTAAAACCTGCCTCTATGATGTTAATGAGGGAGGATGGGTGGCAGTTGTGTTGGTAAGGCAGAAGTGAGCAGTGAGACAGGGGGACCTCATACCATCAAGAAAGCAGTGCCGGGAGCAGAGCGCGTCCTTTGGACTGGGGTCCCTGTGTAGAGAAGCTCCTAGTCCAGGGGAACACCGAAGAGAAGAAGGCCGACAGAGAGAAAAAGCCTTCCCCTGGAGCTGATGCCCTGAATTTGGACTTTCAGCCTACTTTGACTGTGAGGAAATTTCTCTTCGTTAAAACCATCCACTTGTGGTATTTCTGTTACGGCAGCACTAGATGACTAAGACAATTGGCTTATACCAAACATGGTTCAGCCCAGGAGCTGGGCACGTTGCCCTGAAACAAAATCGGCTGTTAGAAGGAAGAACAGAGATGGTTTGGGAAGGTAGAGTCTGTCATGGCATAGGAAGTACAGTCTACTTGTCATAAGCAGTACTCATCTCAGGGTTGTCCCTTTTTTGAAGGTCATTCCCTCAAGCATCACACACACATCCACACTTTATTTGTAAATCCCCACAGCTCTAGAGAACCATGTAACCCATTGGCCTGATCATTTGTTGAAGAGGGTGGCAGAGTAAAAGCAGAGGCACTCACTCCTCCTGGACACAGTGGGTGAATGACAGTTGACCGAATGATTGATTCTGTGATCATCTGAGACATCAGTCATGAGAATGTAAGCTCTCAAGGGCAGAGTTCGTGTCTGTTGTGTTCATTGTTGTTGCCTCATATCTAGTGCCATGTGCAGCACACAGTCGTCGCACAGTGATAATGGAGTGATGGATGCGCAGACTAATGACTGAAAAAGATGATGTCTTCGTGGGATGATGCCTCTGTAAACGGATGGCGCCTGAGTGATCTGCCGAAGTGTAACCTTGGGCTCCCCCTCTAAGGAGCTGAGTAACTGTAAGGTGAAAAGATGGTGACAAGATAAAGTGCTCTCTCATCCATTGCTGGTGGAAATGCAAAATGGTACAGCCGATGTGAAAACAGTTTGGCGGTTCCTAAAAACGTTAAACATAGAACTACCATATGACCTAGCAATTCCACTCCTAGGTATAGACTCCAAAAATTTGAAAGCAGGAATACAAACAGATACTTGTATACCAGTGTTCATTGCAGTACTATTCACAATGGCCAAAAGGTGGAAACAACCAAAATGTCCATCAGTAGATGAATGGATAAACAAAATGTGGTACATGCATACAATGGAATATTATGCAGCTGTAAAGAGAAATGATGACATCATTGCTGATGTCAGATGGATCTTGGCTGAAAGCAGAGAATACCAGAAAGATGTTTACCTGTGTTTTATTGACTGTGCAAAGACGTTCGACTATGTGGATCATAACAAATTATGGGATAATATTGCAAAGAACGGGAATTCCAGAACACTTAATTGTACTCATGAGGAATCTGTACATAGACCAAGAGGCAGTCCTTCGAACAGAACAAGGGGGGATACTGCGTGGTTTAAAGTCAGGAAAGGTGTGCGTCAGGGTTGTATCCATTCACCATACCTATTCAATCTGTATGCTGAGCAAATAATCCGAGAAGCTGGACTATATGAAGAAGAATGCAGCATCAGGATTGGAGGAAGACTCGTTAATAACCTGCAATATGCAGATGACACAACCTTGCTTGCTAAAAGCGAAGAGGACTTGAAGCACTTATTGATGAAAATCAAAGACTGCAGCCTTCAACATGGATTACACCCCAACATAAAGAAAACAAAAATGCTCACAAATGGACCAATAAGCAATATCATGATAAATGGAGGAAAGATTGAAGTTGTCAAGGATTTCATTTTACTTGGATCCACAATCAAAGCCCATGGAAGCAGCAGCCAAGAAATCAAAAGATATATTGTATTGGGCAAATCTGCTGCAAAAGATCTCTTTAAAGTGTTCAAAAGGAAAGATGTCACTTTAAGGACTAAGGTCCACCTGACCCAAGCCATGGGGTATTTTCAACTGCCTCATATGCATGCAAAAGCTGGAGAATGGATAAGGAAGACTGGCGAAGAATTGATACACTTGAATTATGGTGGTGGTGAAGAATATTGAATATACCGTGGACTGCCAGAAGAACAAACAAACCTGTCTTGGAAGAAGTACAGCCAGAATGCTCCTTAGAAGGGAGAATGGCAAGACTTCGTCTCATGTACTTTAGACATGTTATCAGGCCGGACCAGTCCCTGGAGAAGGACATTCTTCTTGATAAGATATCTTGCTTGATAAGATAGAGGATCAGCAAAAAAGAGGAAGACCGTCCATGAGATGGACTAACACAGTGGATGCAACAATGAGCTCAAATATAGCAATGATTGTGAGGATGGTGCAGGACTGGGCAATGTTTCTGTTGTACATAGGGTCGTTGTGAGTCAGAACCGACTCAACGGCACCTAACAACAAAGAGAAACGAAATCCTGATCCGTGCTATGACATGGATGAAGCTTGAAAACATTATGCTGATTGAAATAAAGTTAGTCATAAAAAGACAAATATAGTGTGATCCCACTTGTATTAAAAAGGGAAGTGTATAGATACCAAGGCTTAGTAGTGGTTACCAGGGGTCGGGTGGGGGGAGGAGGGGAGTCATTGCTTAGGGGGCACTGAGTTTCTGCTAATGGTGCCGAAATGATTTGGAAACAGAGTGGTGATGATTACTCAGCATAATGAACGTAATCAGTGTCACTGAACTGTGCATGTAAAAATGGTTGAATTGGCAGAAATTTTATTATGTTTTTACCACACACACACACACACACACACAAGACTAAAGTGCCATGGCAGGACAAGGCAGCGAGTGCCAGAGTGGTGCCCAAGGGGCCTTTGGCACAGGCCGTGCCATCCACTTGGGGCACAACCAGGGGAGGAACCTACCCTTCTCTGACCTTCGGAATCAGTGACCAACATCCACTTGCCCTTGGCTATTGTACCTTTTGTGTTGAGACCACAAGAATGTTTTATCTACCAAAATTTACTTGGATTTGTGGAAGAAAGAGGATTCCTCCTGTAATCCTCTTTCTGTGGATTTTTAAAGATTTATGAATATACCTGCTCAGGAGAGAAAGAAAAGTCAGGTTTCGCTCTCCTCCCTGCTAGCTTGTTAAACCAAGGAGGAAATGATGGTTTCATTCCATGTGAATGGCGTTTAATGACTGACCAAGGGGTGTAAACAGTGTAAAGGTGAAGTGTGCTCCAGGTGTCAAGGATTATTAAGGCAAAGCGGTGTTTGTCACATATTATAAGAACCTTCACTCCTGCCTGTTTTTGCTCTTCAAACTCTGTTTTACTTTCTTTTAGACCTAGAAGGTTTTGACTCCGTGGTGTCGTCTACTGAGAAACTCAGTCACCCAACCACAAGCCGACCAAAAGCCACGGGGAGGCGCCCTCCATCCCAGTCCCTCACGTCCGTAAGTGTCTCCTCCTCTCGCTGTATTTCTCCACAGCTCAAGAGCAGGAAGGGTTAAAAGACTTCAGCTAAGGACCCTTCTGCAAGTGGAAGGTTTGAGGACAGCCGAGAGAGGGAGGGCATGAGCTATACAGCGGCCAAAAGTGATTGAAGCGCTTTCTTGAATCGAGCAGCTTCCTTTCTATTATTTGTTCTTTGTGTATCTGCCAGGAAGGTAGGTGCTCTCTATTCGCATTTCCTTCTCTCTTCTTCCAGACTGATTCTTACTTGAACCTGACATGAGACTGGTAAGAAAAAAATGCAATATTTTGTGGTGGAAAAGGAGAGAGAAGCTGGTTTGGTGTGTAAACAAAACAAGACTAAAGTAAAGAGCTGCCACTCGAAAGGACTAGCCAGTGGCCGCACCTCTGTCTCCCAAAGCCCCAGCTGTGCGCACCCCTCCACCGACCCCCACGCACCCCCAGGAGCCCGTAGAGGTTTTTTGTTTGACTTGTTTTTAATAACTGCTTTTCTTACTGCAAACCTGTTGCACATGTATCATACCACACTTGGGCAATGAAAAAGCATAAAGAAAGTAAGTTACCTCTAACCCTGCTCCCAGAACTGAGAACTGCTAACCTCTTGCTGTAATCCTTACTGGGTTATTATTATTATTTGTATATATAAAATTATTTCTTCAAAAATGGAATCACATAGCACCCAGTGTTTTGGAACTTGCTTCCCCCTACCTCATTTGCACCCCTTTCTCCCCAGTCATGACACATTCTTCTGTAACATCACATTTAATGGCTGCCTAGTGTTCTAACCTACAAATATATGAGAGTGTTTATCTAGCTAGTGCATTATTATTGGAAATTTATGTTGTCTCCAATTCTTCATTATCAACATCACCAAAGTGAATGTCATTCTGGAAAAATCTTGGTGCTGCTCCAAAATGATTCACTTAGATAAACTTGGCCCTCCACAAAGGTGACTGAGCTTGCCTCTCACAAAGCAGTAGCTACATCCACTTCCTCGTCCTTGCTGGGCACACTGCTGTATGGCCTGGTGACCCCCACCCCAAGGCACCAAAGAATGAACCTTTTGCAGGTTTCCCAGGGGCACTTTCTCTTTTCACCTCAGCCCTGATCCCATCTGAGGTGTCATCAGTTAGAAGCAAAAGAATGCCACTGCCTTTGAACCTCTCCTCTCCTACCTGCTGAGTCCGAAAGCGTGATTTGAGTTGTTCTACTTTTCCTCTTGTATGAAAGAAACTTCATCATGTATTGACAGCTTTTTGGGAGAAGGACTTGAAAAAGTGGTGTCCTTTTTCATCCTTATATAGAGCTCTGTGTCAGCACCACCTTCTCTCCCCTCTCGCGTCTTCACACCCCCCGCAACACCCCTCATGTAGACACAGCGTATTTAATTGCTTCTTAGTACCTCCATATTTAGATTTTTAATCCTACCTCCTACATCTTCTGTATAAATCCTTCATCATTTTTGTTTTCCTTCCAAATTCTTCCTAACTTTTCAAGGTTGAAAGAGCCTTGAGGTTTCCAGAATCAAATGCAGAAAGGTTCAAATTACTACCCCCTACCTCACCCTTAAGGAGTTCTGATGGTGAAGTGCTTAAGCACTTAGCTGCTAACTGAAAGATCAGTAATTCTAACCAGCTAGCCACTCCGAGGGAGAAAGATGTGGCAGTCTGCTTCCATAAAGATTGTAGCCTTGGAAGGCCTATGGAGCGGTTGTACTCTGTCCTGTAGGGTCACTGTGAGTCAGAATCAACTCAATGGCAACAGGTTTGATTTTTTGTTTGTTTGTTTAACCCACCCTTGGCCCATATATCCCGTGTCTGGTAGTTCCTGTGTATTTGGGGGAATGCAGTAAAGGCATCTTGTCTTCACACAAGTTTGTTTGTTCTTTTATTCGTTCGACAAGTATTTATTGACACTATCTGCTATATGCTCAGCACTGTGCCAGGCACCAAGGCTACAACTGCGAGTGATATGTCCATAGTCCCTACCTGTCGGAAGCTTATAGCACAGTGACTTGAAGCTTGGGACTTTATATGAAGCAATTGTATTTGCAGACTTAAGACAACAGGATACATTTATGCTTTGAAGAAATATAATTACTACACTCTCTTCCCTTCATTTCCATCCATTCCCATATGGATGTGTACGTTGAGTTCATATTTACTCTTTTTGCATCTAGCACCTATAGGTTTTCATAGCAAAATGGGATTAGTAGACATGGGCATATTTCATAAAAGGCCACTGGGGAAAATGATTGAGGAAATGCACCAGTCATGATTCCCCAGCTGGTGGCCTTTCACCCTAGTTTAGAGCTATTTACGTTTATAGGATTCAAAGAGCAAGCTGTGATTGGCAACTCATGAACCGTAGGTTGTATAGGAGTAAACTGGCTTTTGGAGTAGAATCTCGAAATGATTCCGGCTTTGCAAGATAGTTAAGCAGTTAAACCTAGATTAATAGGAAAGCTTGAGGGGGAGGGTATTCTAGGTAATTGGATTTTCAGATTAAATGAAGATTAACAAACAAGACCTCTTTCTTTTTTTTAATTGTACTTTAGATAAAGGTTTACAGAACAAACTAGCTTCTCATTAAACACTTAGTACACATATTGTTTTGTAACATTGGTTACCAACCCCACGACATGTCAACACTCTCCCTTTCTCTACCTTGGGTTCCCTATTACCAGCTTTCCTGTCCCCTCCTGCCTTCTAGTCCTTGTCCCTGGGCTGGTGTGCCCCTTAAGTCTCATTTTGTTTTATAGGCCTGTCTGATCTTTGACTGAAGGGTGAATCTCAGGAGTGACTTCCTTACTGAGCTAAAAGAGTGTCTGGGGGCCATACTCTCAGGGTTTCTCCTCTGTCAGGCCAGTAAGTCTGATCTTTTTTTGTGAGTTAAAATTTTCTTCTACATTTTTCTTCAGCTCTGTCTGGGACCCTCTATTGTGATCCCTGTCAGAGCAGTCGGTGGTGGTAGTCGGGCACCATCTAGTTGTGTTGGACTCAGTCTGGTGGAGGCTGTGGTAGATGTGGTCCATTAGTCCTTTGGACTAATCTTTCCCTTATGTCTTTGGTTTTCTTCATTCTCCCTTGCTCCAGATGGGGTGAGACCGGTGGAGTATCTTAGGTGGCTGCTCACAAGCTTTTAAGACCCTAGACGCTACTCACCACAGTAGAAGGTAGAACATTTTCTTTATAAACTGTGTTATGCCAATTGAGCTAGATGTTCCCCGAGACCATGGTCCCCACAGCCCTCAGCCCAGTAATTTGTTCCCCCAGGGAGTTTGGATGTGTCTATGGCGCTTCCACAACCTTGCCTTGTACAAGTTGTGCTGGCTTCCCCAGTACTGTGTACAGTTTTACGCTTCACCAAAGTTACCACTTACCTATTGTCTATTTAGTGTTTTTCCATCCTCACCCCTCCCCTCCCTTGTAACCATCAAAAATTGTTTCTTTTCAAACAAGACCTCTTAAATTTAAAACTTTGCTTAAGAAATTCCCTAAAATGCATTAGATTCATGCCTTAGTAAGTAAATAGAACAAAACAAACAGTATCAGTAGATGTGATGGTTTTCTTATGTTGCTGAGTGGTGATTCTAAATGGAACTATCCTTCTACCATGGGGGTAGAAGGCAAAGAGATGAGGCTGAATATGAGCTCACCCAAAGATATCTCTGGAAGATTCTTTGTGTAAAAAGAATCCTTGCGAAGTTGTGTGATAGATATACTTACAACAACAACAACAAAAAAAAGAATAGCTTCCGAGGCTGCTTATGTACAACCAAACACCTCATGGGATTTGGTTCCTTGGTTTGGAGGTTTAGGGTCATGGTTTCATGGGACATCCCAGTTAACTGACCTAATAACGTGTTTAGTGCTTCTGTTCTACCTCCTAGTTCGTTGAGTAGTGCCTGGGGTCTTAAAAGCATGCAAGCAGCCATCTAAGGCACAACAATTGGTCTCTATTCACATGGAGCAACAGAGGAAGAAGGAAAGTCAGGAATAGGAGAAGGATATGGGATGTGTAGCTAATTATCTGCATGAACAACTGCCTCCTTTTCCCTGAGACTAGAAGGACTAGATGGTGCCCAGCTGCCATTAGTGAACATTTTGATCAAGATTCCATAGAAAAATCCTGATCAAAAGGGGGAAAGTGCAGAACAGAATTTCAAATTCTCATGGACTCCAGACTTTCTGGAGCCATGGAGGGTGGATGAGCCCCCAAAACTATTGCCCTGGGTTAATCTTTAAACCTTAAACCAAAAATATTCCCTGAAGTCTTCTTAAAACTGAACAATAGTTTAGCTTAACTAGTAAAAAGAAGTCTGTCTTGAGCATTATGCTCTTTTAATGCTCTATATGGAATCAAATTGACAACAGTAACTCGAAAGATTAGATAGGAACCTTAGGGAGCAGTGAGTTTATGTTAATGACAGAGGAACAGCTCCGAAAGGGAGAGTGAGAATGGTTGCACAACTCGAAGAATGTAATCAGTGTCACTAAATGGTACATGTAGAAACTGTTGAATTGGTGTGTGTTTTGCTGTGTGTATTCTCAACAACAGCAACAATATAGATAAAATTTAGGAAAAAGAAAGAATCCTTGCTATGGGAACGCTTACTTTCATCTGCTTTGTCCTAAAATAGGAACATTCTAGTACAATAACCATTTATGACTAAGTGAATTCCAGTGAATTGTCTCACGTTCATCCAGCTTATTTGATCTTCACAGTGAGGCAGAGAGTGTAGTGATGTTACCCCCCTATTTTACCAGCAAGATGCTATTTTGTGAATATACCTCAGCAAATATAGAATCCAGAATGGATATTGATTGTCAGCAGTAATGAGGGCAGAGATTTAGCAGCAGGTGCCAGATGAGACATGAGCTTGCTGTGCTGGCAGGTAAACCTGTTTTCTCGGCTGCGGATACTGGGCAGCAGGCCTGTTGGTCCCTTTCCCCTGAAAACAGGTTCCCCTCAGACAAGTCCTTTTAGGGCCCTTCAGTAGGCGGCAGATTTCATGATCCTGAGGGGATGGAGTAGAGGACAGCTAGAGGCAGCCTCTTGTTGACCTGTCTGTCCTTCCCCACTGGACCGTCAGCCCTGGGATGGCAGGACTGTGTGTGACGTGCACCATTCAGTCTACAGTACCGTGCATAGTGCCTGGCACACGGTAGCGGATATTTATAGAAAGGAGGGAGGGAGGGAACAAGGGAGGGTGGATGATGAAATGGATGTATTAATTGATGGGCATCAGTAGAAAGAGTCCAGAGAGCCGTGGAAAGATCCCTGGTTTAGGAAACCTTGGTTCTTAGTCCCAGTTCTACCACTAACCAGCTGTGCAACTATCTCCAGTAAATAAATATCCACACACTTTCTGCCTCCCAGTATTATACTGAGGAAACAAAACAGAAGCATCGAGAAGTGCTTTGAAAAGTATACAGCATTATACTAACGAAAGCTCCCATCAGCTAAGGTGTAATTCTGACCACATTTTCTTTCGGCCTTATCCAGTCATCCCTCTCAAGCCCTGATATATTTGACTCTCCAAGTCCAGAAGACGACAAAGAGGAACACGTTTCACTTGCGCACAGAGGAGCAGACGCATCAAAGAAAACGTCAAAGACTGTTACCATATCCCAAGTGAGTGACCAGCCACAGCTAGGTGTCCGTGCAGGCTTTAAAGACAGGCTTTGAAGAAATGTAATTACTATACCCTCTTCTCTTCCTTTCATTTCCATCCATTCCCATATGGAGGTATACATTGTAAACCAAACAAGGATGGGCAGAAAGTGCAGGCATTTGTCATTCTTTAGTGACAGTCATGACTTTAGTCATCAAAATCCTTGTGGCATGTTACAAAGCCTCTACAGCTGGCAGGATCCCTGAGATATAAGTTCAGTTGTTTATTTCCCACATCGTTTTCTCCTCTGGCTCAACTTCTCTTCATACTGTCAAACACACATACACAAATGCCGGTACACACACATGCACACCACCGCCGCCACCTCCATCACCAGCAGCCAAAACAACTTTAAAAGCCTACAGGTGCCTAGAAAGAGTATATCATATAATGTGCCCTCTGCCCGCAGATCTTGACTTTTATGTTCAAAGCTGGCAGTGTCAGAAATTATAGTGGGCAATTAGTAAATGCAAATAATGAATGGGGTCTCTTGAAGAAAAGCTGATTTGGATTTGTACTTCAGGATACATTTATAGTCTGAAAGCATTTTAATTTCACTGCATGCCTAGGGAATGGTAAAGCTATTTTAAGTTATTGGTTTGTGAGAAAGAAAGAAAACATTGTTTAGCTACTCTGTACAGCTTCGGAAGTGCACCCTGCACAAGTTCTCTTCTTCCTATGAGTATGAAACAAGATTTTAAAATTCCATTTTTTTGTATTAAGGAAACCCAGTCAATTGGAATTATTTTCTATAAGCATTAGCAATGTCTTTTTCTGTCTAAAAGCAGAAAACTAGAGCCATTTTTTAAGGCATTTGAAGCAAGACTTAAAAAGAAATCAAAGATTATGTGGGGTTTTCCTTCTCATAGATTTAAGAATTTACAGGTATGGATTTTCTTAAAAATATGATACAGTAAGCAGAAATAATGATCCTTTTAAACTGATCAATTGTAATTTTTCACACAACTGAATTCTTCCTTTATCAAAGGATTCATTTGCAGAAATTTGGTTTAGACCAGTGCTTTCTGGTGACTCAGAAGTACCTACAGTTGTGTTCTCTGATGTCCCTGGGGTGTGTCTATAGTGACACCTACTGGTGGACAACAGTTTTTCACAGTTCTGATCTGCACAATTCTATCCTATTAGCACTGGTGGTGCCTGCGGTTAAATGTTCGACTGCTAACCAAAAGGTCAGCAGTTCGAATCCATCCACCGCTCCTTGGAAATACTATGGGGCAGTTCTGCTCTGTCCTATAGGGTCGCCATGAGTTGGAACTGCCACAATGGCAATGGGTTTGGTTTTGGGTTATCCTATTATTGGAGCTTTGGTGGCACTGTGGTTAGGTGTTCAGCAGCTCACCAAAAGGTTGGCAATTCAGACACACCAGCCACTTCTTGGAAACTCTGTGGGGCAGTTCTACTCTGTCCTGTAGGGTTGCTATGAGTCGGAATCGACTCGATGGCAACGGATTTGGTTTGGTAGATATCCTAGTAGCCTATTTTACTTCCCCAGAGTTGTCCTATCATGTTCTTCTTTGTGTCTAGAAATTCCATTTGAACTAATTTGATCAGGGAGTGTGGTGGCCTATACTCTTCAAGGCCTTATAAAAGCTGCACAGGGCCTGGAGAGTGAGTCCTGTAGGAAATGCTAAGAGAATTGTTGATTCGAGAAGTCCCTGGAATTATATCAGTGTAAGGGAATTGGTGGGTTGGGACAGGTACAGAAGGATGCAGGGTGGGAATCAGGAAAAGCAGGACCCCAGGAGTAGGAAATAAGCAAAGGAAATAGGAACAGGGGAGTGTGTATCTCCAGACGCCAGCAGCCACAGTCACACTGGGCAGAAGGGGTCTGGCTGATGGAGGAAGGGACTGAACCCCCTTTGTTCTGCCAGTTCTTAGTTATGAGTCTTGGGGGTTTACTCAGCCACCTCTCGAAGCCTCAGTTTTCCTGCTCAGTAAAAATGTGTGGGCCTGTTGATCCTCACTTGAATTGTCTAGCCCACGATGTCAGGCCTGTGACCAGGATCCTCCAATGTCAATGTCAATTCCTCTTCCCTTGGACTCTCCTACTAACATGGAGGCACCGCATGGCTGGATTGCAGAGAGCGCTTTCCTCAATGGTAACTTGGCAGAGAAAAAGCAGGCAGCAGGCAGGCAAGCAGAGAGTCTGCAAACGATGTCCCATCTGCCCGGCCTCTCCCTCTAGCACAGCCCGAATCCGCTCTCCCTCCTCACAGTGCCAGCCCAGCCCCTTCTTGGCTCCTGCCCAGGGGTGGCTGGCTAGGCACTGGCTGATGCCAAGCTTTACCACCAGCTTCAACTTCCTGTCACTCACACAGAGACAAGACAGAAGAGAAGGCGGGAATCCACTCACCCATCCTGGCCCACTGCTTTCCCTCCTCCTCTCTTGCCTGCCAACTCCCCTCCCACGTCCTCCCCTGGGCCTGCCGGGTGCCTCTGTTCCCTCCTGCCCCTGGCCCTGTGACCGTCCCTCAGCCTGTGCCTTCCTGGCACCCTCAGAATAGTCCTCCATCAGTCCTCCCCTTCCTGTCCCCTCTGTCTTCAGCCTGGCCCTCCATTGGCTCTTTCTCTGAGCATATCATCTTTGAAAGCAAACAAAACCCCTCCTCAATTCTGTCTCCTCCTGAGGCTTCTGTATGGGTACCCTCTCTCTCCCCTCTCTTCCTTAGCCAAGTTTCTGGAAAGAGAGCCCTAAACTTGCAGGCCACACCCCTCGCCTCCCATCAGGCACAGGCCTGCCATTGTCAGGTTTCTGTCCCCATTGCTCCACCAAATGGACTCCCCCAGTTTTACTCTCAGCACCCTTGACCCACTTATTCAACCACTTTTTCTTTCTGGAATCTTCTCCAGGAGGCTCCGATAACTCAGACTCCTCTTCTGGTCTTGCTTCTTCCTCTCTCACTGCGCTTTCCCCACCTCTAAAGTTGGAGATTCCCCAGGGCCCCATCATTGGGCCTCTTCTCTTCTGCTTCTCTATTATCCATCCCCCTGGCTTCTACCTCTCCTGGCGATTTCCCCAGCAGGTACCCGGAGCAGTGCCCGGCACCCTCGTGGATGAGCCTGCCACCCGCATCTCTCAAAGCTGTCTTCTCTCCATCCCCTTGGCCGCTGCCTAGGTCCAACCCTCACCATTTCTGTTGTTCATTGTTACAGAGTCTCCCAGCTAGTCTCCCTGCCAAGTGCAAGGCCCTTCTCCAGCCGGCGCCATCTAGCTTGACACACAATCTTTTTAACCTGTCAGCAAGCCCCTTCTACCACCCACCCCACCTCTGTCCCGCCCCTCTTACATTCCAGCCCTGCTAAACCACCTGCTTCCAGAAATGCAGTTTGTTCTCCAGTCTCTAGGCCTCTGCCGCTGGTGTTCCCTCCTCCTGGAACGTCCGTCTCCAACCATCCCTCCTTCTGCTGGCCCTCTCCTAGTCCTCCTCCGGGATGGCTGGCCCCTTTCTGCCTGGCTCCCTCCTCCTGTGTGGTTTTCTCCCTCATCTGCAGTGTAATGTCTGTCTGTCAGTCTGCCTGCCTGCCTGCACTTTGCTGGGTTCTGAGCTCCTTGAGAGCCAGGAGAATGTCTTGCTCACTTCTGGGTTTGGGGAGCCTGACACGTAGCTGGGCTCTGTGCATGTACATTGAACTGGTTAGTAACTACCTGTCCAAAAAGGTGGTTAAACGTAAAATACGTGGAAGAAGGCATTTGAAGGGGGGTTGCCTGCCCCAGGCGGGCCCTTTGGTGTCTGCGGAGGAAGGAAAGAGTGAGGAGGGGTTGTGGAGAGCGGCGGGGAGGGTTTGCTCCCCAGGACAGGGGACCCAGCACGTGCCTTCCTAGTTCTGACCCTCTCTCCTCCCTCGTCACAGGTGTCCGACAACAAAGCTTCCTTGCCGCCCAAGCCGGGGGCCATGGCTGCAGGTGGTGGGCCAGCCCCACTGTCCGCGGCGGCACCCTCCCCCCTCTCATCCTCTTTGGGAACAGCCGGACACAGAGCCAACTCCCCGTCTCTGTTTGGCACGGAAGGAAAACCAAAGGTGGAGCCTGCGGCTAGCAGCCAGGCGGCCGTGGAGGAGCTGAGGACACAGGTCCGTGAGCTGAGGAGCATCATCGAGACCATGAAGGACCAGCAGAAGTAAGTTGGGGTCCCTTTCTTCCTGCCTGGGCTAATCCCGAGCCTCCCGGAGGGGCTCGGGGCCTCCCTATGGTGGAGGGCTGGGGTGGGCACCGAGAGGCTTCACTGAGCACAACTCCGTGTTTACACTGGACCTACTGTGGGCACGAAGGGCGTGTGCAGGGGTGAGGCAGTTCCCAGGCCTGGTGCTCTCAGCAGGATGCTAAAAGAAAAATCCCTTATGTCACCCATGAAACAATGTTCACATGCACCATTTTGCAGTACATTCAACAGCCAGTTTTCCCACCAGTATCAGCAAAATTGTAGTTGCTTCAGTTAGCTGCCAGATGAACTAATTGGCTTGCATTTAGGGGCCATATTGCATGAAAAAGGCATAGGGCATCTTTAAACCGAAGACTTTACACTTGGCAAGATGTTCTAACCGTGAGACTGGGAGGGAGTTTCTCTGTTCATGCCTACACACATGCACTCTCCCCCGAAAGAGGTGGGGAGAAAGACCTGTAAACAAAAACGTACCAAAATAGGTGTCACACAGAATGTCATGTGCAGTGATGACACTGGTAAAAGAATCAGAAGCAGGGAGGCCCTTATCTTAGGTAAACTGAGGCTCGCAGAGTTTGGGGCTCTCTTAGCTTGAGGGAATCAGGCGAGGCATGTTAAGGAGGTGTTTCCTTAGGAGGATTTTGAAAGATGAACTAGGACTGCCAAGTGGCCCGCCAGATGGAGGGAACAGCAAGGGCAGATTCAGGGCCATGTGGGGCAGTCTTAGATCATGAGGTGGCCAGGGGCAGTGGCAGGAGCTGGGGCTGGGCAGAAGTCCTGGTCCCCTGCCTCCCCTCTTGGGGCTGAGGGGCCCTGAAGTGTTTTGTGGTCAGACACTTTGGGGGAATAACTGGGTTAACCAAAGTTTGTTTCTTCTCAGAAGGACTGCTCAGAGCCTTCACTGTCTATGAGGAGGTTGGAGGGGAATCGACTACGCAGTGTTTCTCAAATGTGCTTAATCATGGGACCCTTTTCTCTAGAGCATCTGAGGACTGGCATTCCACGGAACGCAGTTTGAGGAATGTGACTCTAAGCGGTTCTGTTCCACTCAGGCTGGGAGGTATCATATGAAACCAAGGCCTCTTGGACTTACCCCCTACCTAGAAGGGATTCATCAGATAAATATCCAGAACCAGCAGGATGATATTAGAGAGAACCACCCGGGGCCAGCCAGCCTGCCCCTAACTTATGTCTTCTTAAAGCCCACAGTTCCGTTACAGGTTTGGGTACCCAAAGGCCCCATCCGTGTCCACATATGTCCCTTGCCAAGACAATGACCCTACAGCCCCACAATGTCCCAGGACACTGGTTCTCAGACTTTCGAATAGGGCAGCCTGTTTGGGAGTCAGGTTCGGGGCCTCTGAGAGTCAGATCCAGGAGGGCTGAGGCAGGGCCTAGAACTCAGCATTTTAACACTGGGCCCTTCACATAAGGCTGACGCATGTGGTACAGGAACATACTTTGAAAAACCCACCTCTAGGGCAACACCAGAGGTAAGTTAATTCAGGAGCAAGGTGGACACCATGCTGGGGTGACACTCAGGCCACAGGAGACACAGTTCCTGCCCTCAATGAAGTCACAGTCCGAATGGCATACAGAGGAGAACACGGCCAACAGAAAGTTGGCACAGATGGTCAGAGGGAGCCGGGCCCTCAGAAATGGGGATGCTGAGGCCCAGAAGGGGCCTCACAGCATCTTGGAGGCAAAGCTGAGGCTCCTACGCAGGCCTCTTGACCTCCAGTTTAGAGCACCACCCACCAGGCCAAACTGCTTCCTTGTCAAAATTTTGTTATGCTGGGGGGAATGTGACTCTGGGTCTTAGGGGATTTCACCAGGGACAGGTGTTGGTGAGAGAAAGCGTCGACAGCAGTGGGGATATGCAGCCTCCACCCCATATGTCCTACCTGAAGAAAACAGTGGCCACCAACACGTCTCCTGCTGACAGAGTGCTAGTCACTGCTTATGTGGCCTTCCTTCCTGGGCTGCCGAGCTTCCAGAGGGGTTGGGGTTAAGCAGCCCCTGAATCTTACTCCATCTTGGGCTGTTTGAGCCAGGCCACCAGTGTGTTGCCAGCTGCCTAAGGCACATCTCTGGCTTCAGAGGGTTCCGAGCCCAGGCCAGCCCTGTGCCTCACAGGCCTGAGCTATGTAGCAGGTTGGTGAGTGGTTAAAACACAGGTTCCGCCAGATGGCTGGAGTTTGAATCCCACCCTGGCCACTCACTAGCCATGTGTCCTTGGGCCAGTCACTTAAGCCCTCCCCATCTCCATTTTCTCATCTTTAACCCTCAGATAAGGAGCCCTGGTGGTGCAGTGGTTAAGTGCTCTGCTGCTAACCAGAAGGTTGGCTGTTCAAACCCACCAACCGCTCTGTGAGAGAAAGATGTGGCAGTCTGCTTCTGTAAAGATTACAGCCTTGGAAACCCTATGGGGCAGTTCTACTCTGTCCTGTGGGGTAGCTTTGAGTTGGAATCAACTCTATGGCAATGGGTTTGGTTGGTTGGTTGGTTTTTTTAACTCTGAGATAATACCCCCTCATGGGGTTCTTGGGAGCACTCAGCAAGTTCCCACTCATAAAGCCTGAGGACACTGTGTGGCCCCAAGTGTTCTCTTGCCACATGGCTAGCTATTACTAAGACTACCCTACCCAGCCCAGGGGGCGCCTGCCACACCAACCTAAGCTTTTTGTCCTTTCCGGAAATTCTTCATTGCTGCTGGATTTTTCTTCCTCCTCTCCCTGTCTTACCCTCCTCACTCCCCACCACGTCTCTCTCACCTTCCTCCCATCTTGCCCTGCGTTCCACCTTCTTTTTCCCACTCCCCACTCCTCCCAGCCCTCAGGCCTATCACCTGCCTTTGTAGATTCTAGAGCACCATCCTTAATCCCACTGGTTGTGCAGAAGGGCTGGCTTGTCTGACACATCACCCCAATCTCGGGGGTTGAGGAAGGGACTTGACCCTCTCAGCAAGTGGCGTCAAGGAGCTCTTCAGCTTCATCTGCCTTTAAATTTAAGGGCACTTTCTGTTCCCAAGTTCTGGTAGAATTCTTACTTACTCTCTTACGTATTGACAGCTCTGGGACGTTTGTAAGCACCTCGTGCAGGTTGTTAGCGTGGTGATGAGACCCATGCCAGCCCTTCACACAGGAATGGAATCTGCAAATGCACAAAGTAGCAGAGGCCTGCACCGTTTGATACATCTGGGTGCAGACTCTTGACTCTGATGCTAATCAGTCATCCACCTGAAGCAAATCATTTAGCCTCTGTGACCCCTGGGTGCCTCCTGTGGAAAGTGGGGTAACTAGGGCTTTCCTGCCATGTGCAGGGTGATTGTCAACGTTGTCAACAATGAGTAGAAAGGATGTGACCAGGCCTGGCCCAAGTCAGGACTCATGCTTGGAGGCTGCTGTTGTTAGTGTCATTATTGCCCATTTCCTGGTGCCCTGTGGGCACGACCTCAGGCCAGAGAGCGGCTCTGAGCCACACACCCTGACGACGTCCTCAGGGCCTATGGGAAAGAGCAGTGCTCATTCCCAAGGTGGTGTCTGGGTGGGGGCCATTGTTTTGCCTGCAGCTCTGACCTCATCTAGCTGGCACCCTCTTGCTTCCCTTTGCCCACTAGTGGGCAAACAGGACCATCATTTGGCTCAGATGGGCCTGAATCCAGGGCTTCAGCCCTTTTGACCCCAGCCTCTGATCCTCTGAGAGGTGACTGGAATTTGCACATCTAAGATGGCCTGAGCCTGCCTCTGAGCTCAGAACCACTGGTGCTACTATGACCACTATGAAGCCTGCACGTAGTTGACCAGGATCATCCTGCCCCAACCAGTGTCTTTAGTCAACACCTCTTGGTCGCCCCTCGTCCAAGGCCTGCCTTCCCTAGCCTAGGGTCATTGGGCCCCCACCAGGCTCCCACCTTAGCTCTTGGTGTCACTTTCAGCCTTCACCTCAAGTGTGCACGGCCTCTGTGCCCTCCCCCAGCGTGCCGGCTCTCCCCCCTGGCTCTTCTCCATCGCTTTCCCCATCTTCCTTCCTCTTCATACACTTCTGCCCATTTTTGGTATTCAAGACTTAGTGACTTTTCTCGGGACCACCTTCCCCAGTTCCCTCCCCACAACTGGATGACTTGGGCTTTGCCTGCTGTAGTTTCCCTGGGACCGTGAGGCTTGCCCAAGAAGTCATCTGCTGCTGCTTTTCTACACCCTAAGTGGTGCCCGCGGAGATCTTGGTGCATAATGTGTGCTTGACTAAGTGCAGTAATGGGTCGCAACTGATTCCTGTTGATCACCCATCGTGTCAACAGCAGTGCCAGTGCCGGGGCGCTGGGCCAAGCATAGGGACCATCACGGCGCTCATCTGAGAGAGCGAATGTCCTAGAACGTCTACCTTGTTTACTGTGCTCCTTCTGCAGGCTTGGCTTCTTGATTTTCTAACCCCTGTTTGCAAAAATCTACTTGTAAAATGGAGTGTTTAATATCTTAAAATGGAGAACCTCTTCTCTGACGATGTTTGAATGATTGCAGCGTCTGAAGTATAGAGCCCTCAGATTGGGAAATGATTGCTTTTGTGCCGCTTCGTTATTTACTATGGGGAAGGGCATTAGACTGTGTAGCTTAACTCCGTCCACTTTCTCTACGACATGGTTGTCAAACATCGTTACTTCAATTATTTTACCTCCAAGTTTTAGGGTATTTGTAGGATTTTGCGAGAGTCAGTGAAAACATACCAGTAGCCTTTTCTTAATATAAAACTGTGACAATAAAGGAAATGAAATTTATTCTGTAAGTGCATTTAAAGCCCAGCGATTCTGAAAGGGATAGTGAGAGGGAAGACAACAGAATATGAGCCTGGACACCCGGAGTCTAGTCACTGGGCCTCACTTTCCCCATCTAAAAGGGAAGGCTTGAACTAAGGCGTCTCAAAGGCCATTTCCATACCTGTCATTTTATGGCAGCATATTTTGGGAGCCAAGAAATAATGGCAAGCATTTCTACCAGCAACAAATTTTAAGCAACAATAATGCAAAAACTAAATAATGTTTTGTCCACTTTTTCTTTGTAAAAGGATCAGATTTATTTTGCAGTGATAATGAAAGACTTCTTATCTCTCACGAGGGAAGTCTGGGCTTTGGTTTAATTTCATTGCCGTTTGCTTTTCAGACGAGAGATTAAGCAGTTATTGTCGGAGTTAGATGAAGAGAAGAAAATACGGCTTCGGTTGCAGGTGGGTCCCTCAGAGTCCTGCGGCCCATGAGGCCGAGAGGCTCGGTTGGGGGCGGGGCCAGCGCCAGGGCTTTAATTTGAAGATAAATGATTGTTATTTCTGTGTAGATTTAGACACGTTTCCTGTGACAGTTTTCTTAGGATTGTGTAGGATCACTTCATATCCTTTCTGGGATCCAGGAAGTCTTGGGAAAGGGAGACATTCATAAACCTTCCCTCAATTGGGCTTCTCATTTGGGATTTATCTTAAACATCTGCTCTGTGGAAAGTTCTGCCAGTTTCCAGGAGGCGTCATTATAGTAAGTGCTAGAAGGCATGGCACTGGGGAGGCCCTGTGGCCAGCTGTCTTCTGCCATGTGGTCACTGGGACTCCAGGGACCACAGCTGTCCACACTTGCTCGTCAGCTCTTTATTTCTCCCCGATGGCATGTCAGTCCTGCCAGGACATCAGAGCTCTGTCCCCCTCTCATCTCTGATGCACCTCTGTTTACCAAATGGCAGTGTGTGCGGGAGTTCCACGTTGATGCGCTTGGCGCCCTTGGGGGTGAGTGGGAACCATCCGCTTAAAGAAAGGATGAGACCTGCTCGTCATCACTTTGTGGGTACAGACAGACACCCTGGGCCCAGCCTAACACTGCCAGATGGTCCGGCATTTCCTCTGGCCAGGAAACTGGACTCATGGCTGCTTTTGACAAACTTTGGATATTGGTAGCCTGAGAGTGAAAATAACCACCGTTTCGTGGCGCATGGAGTCTATGTGCGTGTTCTTTAGGCATGGGCCATTGCTCGCATTGTGACGGACTCCTCTTCCAGACCTCATTTCCCCTGTAAAATTGCCAGGCTGATTCTTTTAATCAACCAGGTTGATTATCTTTCAGAGTGTAGAAAGCCCGCCAACTCCATGTGACTTTGTGTGGTTCTTTTTCCTTTATAGATGGAAGTTAATGACATCAAGAAAGCTCTTCAATCAAAATAAATACTTGATCAATGAAACGTTGCATTATTCATCCTGAGTCGGAGACTCAAATTTTCCACCCCAGCCAAAATAACCTCGTGCCAAAAGATGAAAGGTTTGCCTCCACATGTCCCTGTTTGAAAGATTAGCACACAAGTCTTGATAGCACAACACAAATTCCATCCAAGAGGAGAATCTTTCCCATGGCATAGCCCTGGGTCTGGCACTTCGACAGAGCAAATTGTGCTAAAGGCTTTTCTACCTTGAGATCTCACACGAAATGAAAACTCAGGCAGTTTAGTCCATAGTGGTACTATTTTGATGATATTTTCCATGAATAAAATGTAATTTCCGATTCTTCGTTTACAAGCTTTATAATTTTTGATTTTTTAATCGTGTTTTGTCACAGACCCCTCCAGTGTTTGTACTACACACGAGTCAGGAGTGAGTGTCCCCTTCTTTTGCTTCAGGCTGCAAGCTGCCTCGCTTTGTGTCCCCAGTTAGGATTCTATTACATATGCAATTTTAGGTCCAACCCATCCCTTCCCCCTTGCCAACAAAGCCCACCACCCTCAGATAAATTTTAGCTTCTCTATGATGGTATATTTACAAAAAGAGAAAGAGAAAATCTGGTGTTTGCAATGATTTGTGCCTTCTTTTTATCACCCTCTGGATTGGAGCTTTTGTGATGCAGCTACCATGATCCAAAAAAAAAGTTTATTTAGCCACTTAATAAAGTCCACTAGAGGCCACTGTCTTCAAAGCTTCCCTCACCATCGCCAAAGGTCCGAAGAGGAGACAGCTGTGAAGTTGGGAGTGCTGGGTGGTACCGGCTGTGACTTTTTAAGTTCTCCTGGTTTTTGGTTGTTCATGAAACTAGAAATGTCACCCCTGCTTGATTTTTCACCCGCCAAGTTAAACCCCTGCCTCCTGTCCTTTGCACCTTTTGCGTGAACAGAATATGCATTATTAAAGCAAAAATAAATAAAGTAAAATGCAAATGAACACCAGGGGGGAAAGTTGTGTTATTTCCTGCACTGGGTTATCTGTGTGTGTCATCCTTCAAACTGTAGCCACAGAATGTCCTTTGCCTTGCTTTTGTAACCCCTTCCTCAGGTCAGAGAGAGTGGGGGGAGGGTCGTGTTGACGTGTAGCCCTGGGCTCTTTTTTGCATTTATGGAATTGCTTTCTCCTTCCCAAGGAACCCCGTGTTTGTCGGCTTTATCTTTGTAGCAAATGAACAGTTCAGCCTTAGACTGTGTAATTGTTTGCTCATCCTTAGCCAAAAGTAAGGGGCATACTGTATTGCAAGATTGTTGGGAGCTGGGGGTATCCCTTAATGGCCCCCAAAGATGTTTTCATGTGTTTCTAAAAAGCTGCTTTGTCTATTTCCAGAGTTTTATAGTGAAACTACTAAACATCAATAAATTTGCACAACTGCAAAGAATAGGAATTGGTTAACACAGAAGGAACGATACAAAAAAGAAGTCACCCCATGTTATTGATCATTGAAGTATTACAAATCAATGTCTCTTTTCTCTTCCTCCCTCCCTTTCCCCACCTTCCTCTTGCCTACTACATCCACCTGCTACACATCCACCTACTATGCATGCCCGCTGGAGGCTGTTGCTTCTCTCCGAGGCTTTGCAGAGTGCTACCAGACCGGCCCTGGTCTTCTGGGCTGAGACACTTAAGGGAAGGGAATGTGTAAAGAAAGCAACCTCACACCCTCGGGTCCCAGGCCTGGCTAGACTACCTTTTTCAGCAGCCTTGGCCTCATTGGGCTTGGGGCCAAGAATGCCAAGTTTCCCTGGGCATTGTCAAACATTCCCTTGCCCTTGACCATTTGAAGTATTTTTATGTGAAACTTGAAGCCTTCAGAGATTTCTCACCACCTAACCGAGGAATGCGGATTGGAGTCTTTGACGTTTGGATTTCTCATTTACAGGTTGTGAAAATCTCTAACAATATAGTTTTGTATAATGTGTATACCGAGTAGGATTGTTAATAGATTGAGGGGTTGGAGTGCCCTCGTTGGGCACTGGCGACATGCAACATAGAGGGCTGGTGTCATCCCCTCTTAGTGGCCATTGGCTTCCTTTGTACGTGGAGAGGGAGAAGCCATTCTAGAAGGAGAAGTTGGTGTGTCCAGCTTCATTACTGCCTCCGAGGCTCACCAGCCAGAGGATTATGCATCTTGGAACTGTACGAGCTGCCTGAACAGCTTCTATCTTTACTGTTTACTTTGCAAAAGGGACCCGTCAAGAATATGGAAAAGCTTGGAAGTATCACTTTTTAAAAAATTATTTTGCATTCAGCATGGACTCTACCAGGCAGCTCTTGGAGATTATTTTTTTGCTTCATTTTCTAATGTTGTATTTAGAAAAGTCTTAAGTATTGTGCTTTGTAAAGAAGATGATTAAAATGAAATTTTGTGAAAATATTTTTGCTCAAAGTTGTCATGGTCCAAGAGAAATGATTTCTTGGAATATAAACCATTTTTCTCCGTTTTACACAATTTGATTACTCTTGCAGAAGTGTCTTTAGAAGACACGGAATATAGTGCCCTTCTCACCCATCTTTGCCACGTGAGCAGAAATAATCCATTAAAAGCTGCGGATGTGAATTCCATTTTTTAAATTGTTCAACTTTATATTCATATTTCAGCAGAAAGTGCTAGTGAGGTATAAAAATTTTTAACGTAAAAATCATTAAATTATCACTATTCGAATAATTGTATAAAGCCACCTTTATTCATGCACAGGCCTTTGGGGAGCATACTCAAGTGTATGTTTCTGCCATAAAGACAGTCTGTGTCTATCATCCATGTGTGTCTTTGTTACTAATGGTGGGGTTTTATTTCCTTTCATAACCAGCTCTCATGGGAAAACCGCAGGGTATATAATTTATTGCTCATAGTTGCCAGGGTCTATATAAAAATAATCCCCAGGTTCCACAAAGTCCTTTGCATTGTAACCTGAGGTCAACATTGCCCCTTTTTTGTATTAGATTAGGTTTTAGCCCTCTAGTTATTTTAGCACAAATTAATGTCAAGATGTTTCAGCACCAAGAGTGCTGGGTGAAAAGCTTTCCTCTTTGGTTTTGTACAAATGAGAACTGTAACAAAGCAGTGACCGCGTGGGTGACGGGTGTCCAGCATGGCTGATTGGAGTGTCCCACAGAGGGAGGGCTTGAAGTTTAGGACCAAAGCCCAGGGAGGAAGAAGGTGCTGTGGCCTGTTCCCAAAATTAGTTCTCATGAAGGAACACAATGGCCAAGGCCGAGAAAATTCTTTCCCAACCAGAAATTAATGTTTGTCAGTGATGTAAGGAAAGAGAAAGGGGTCACATCTCTTAAGGGGGTGAACCTTTCATGCGTTTCCTAGTTCTGTGCCTAAGGTCACCAAAGCTTGGTTCCTAACACGTGGAGCAGAAGGTGGCTCCTGGAGCCAAAAAGAATCCGTGAAGTAGATGCAGGTCCCCGAGAGGTGGTTTTATTTCATGCCTTTTTAATTGACCACAAACAACTGTGTGTGCTTCTCATGCTTGAGAATTTGGAATTCACAATAAGATGGGCAATTCCTTTTTCTTAGTGGAGCAATAGGTGTTATTTCCATCAAACAATAGAACAAGGTGGTCTATTAAATTGTATCTAGAATTTTCTGAGGAAAAGTAGGAAAAGAAAAAAACTGAGCCGATGAAGAGCTGAGTTCCTAGAGAACCAGCTTCACAGAACTATTTAAATGGCTTCTGTTGTTGTTAGGTGCCACTGAGACGATTTAGACTCAAAGCGACCCCATGTGACAGAGTAGAACTGCCCGCCTAGGATTTTCTAGGCTGTAATCTTTACGGGAGTAGATTGCCAGGTTTTTCTGCAGCAGAGCTGCTGGGTGGGTTTGAACCACCAACCTTTCGGTTAGCAGCTGAGCTCTTAACCGTTGTGCCACCAGGGCTCTCTTTAAATGGCAACGGGTTTAATTAAATTTGGCAGATATAACAATGTCAGTTAAGTCTTGAATGCTTCCCTTATAGAACATGACTAGTTCTCCAGAAAACGAACGCAGATATTTGCTGGCAAGCTTTGAGCAATTTGGTGGGAAGGTGCCCCAGAAATGCAAATTTTCACTATAGTTTTTATTAATTAAAGAGTTTTCAAGCGTTACCAAACCATTTTTTAAACTAACCAAGCTGCCCAGGCCATCCTGAAGCCAAATAGAAAAGCCACAAAAGAAACCAATAACATTTCCAAGGTTATTCCCCAAAAGAAAAGCAGAGGTATCTTAGGAAGAATGGAAGAGATTCTATTCAAGCTTCCTGATTACTTCTTAGTTTCAATCAGAGAGAGCCAAGAGTTTGCCAGGGACTGAAGCTCTGCTATTGAATATTGAAGGGAAGTAGATGGATAGAGATTGAACACCTGTAGGAAATGCCCGCCCATCCCCCTGGGATAGGCACGGGATGCTTTGCAATCACAGAGGAGAGGTGGGCAATCTAGATTGAGAGTGGGGAGGTCGGAGGAGGAAGGGCGTTTTAGGTTAACTACAATTTTTTTGTTTTAAATAAAGCTGTGATAAACCTAGTTGAGCAGAAACCCATGTCCGATTTCTGATTGGCCCTTAAGATAATTCCTTGAAGTGGATTTACCAAGTCAAAGTGTGGGAAAAAGAATCTTTGCATGAGTTAACATTCATTTGAATTAACATTAGCATACAATAGCGACTAACCACCTATCTGCCCCTAAATCGTATTCACCTAAACCTCAGGTGGGTGTCAGGTCTGGATTCCTTCCTTCTAGCCTCTGCTCAAATGACACCTCATCAGAGAGGCCTTCCATAACCCCCCATATGAGAGCAACCCTAGCCTGCAGCCACCCCCACACTCCCCATATCTGCACCCTGCTTCTATTATCTCACCGGCTGACACCCTATGTATACACTTGGCTGTTTTCTGTGTCCCCTCCCTAGAATGAACCACCATGAAGGTAGTGACTTTGTTGTCTTCACTGCTGTATCCCCAGCATCTAGAACATTGCCAGATAGATAGTAAGCACTGGATAAGTATTTCTTGACTGAATAGATGGATTGGTAATTGTGATTGATGGCAAATGGAATTTATTCTGTAAATTTGAGCAGCCTAGTCTTACCTTTACTAAAATTCCGGCACAAAACGAGCATTAGAGAGGATTCATGACAAGAGAAAACTGATCTGAAGGAAGCCTTCAGAGGCGCCTCATTTGTACTGTGTGGGTCTCAGCCAACACCCAGACCCTCAGTACGTCCTGCATCCCTGTGGCTCTCGATAAACCATTATGTCTGAGACTGTCATCCACTATTAAAAAACCTTGGCCACCTCTGTTTTTAAGACAGGAAGCATTATTTCTTAGATTCACTCTGGAGAAAGGATGTTTTCAAGGGTGATTTTTTTCTTAGATTCACTCTGGAGAAAGGATGTTTTCAAGGGTGGGCATATTGTTGACACTCTTGACACTTTGAGGTTGGGTGAGGAAGTGATAAATAAGCAGAGATGTAGATGAGTCCTGGCCTCCAAGACATGCCCTAGGGCAGTGATTCCCACAGGGTGATGCTGGGACCAGCAGCAGCCTGGAAACTTGGTAGAAATGCAAATTCATGGGCTCGGCCCCAATCTACTGAATCAGACATTCTAGAGCTGGGGTCCAGCATGCTGTGTTTCCCCAAGGCCTCTGGGTCATTCTGATACAGGCTCAAGTTTGAGAACCATCATGAAGGGCAGATCAACTCACTCCAAGTGAGTTGTGTGTACGGTAACCCCCACGTCTCTTCTCCAGAGATCTCTGACTGGACTGTGGCTGCAACAAAACAAGGTACAATATCCAGAAACGATTCCATAGTCTGTTAGGTTGAATCATATGAAATTGACATTTTCATGGGTCAAAATGAATAGGACTTGCAGTCTACTCAGAAATGTAGAGAGCTGAAAAAGCCTCCTTCCCACCCTTATAACAAGAAAAAATTTGGACAGACTGGAAATGAACAGAGAACTGCTTTCACAGAGCAAACGGCCATTTCGAAATCTGGAGAGAGACACAGGACCCGAGCATTTGCTTAGCTGCAGAAGCTGCCAGACTCAGTAGAAAACTGGACAAATTGCCCGAGGCCAAGTGTGGGCTAGCTGCAGAGTACGAAACTCCTGGCCACAGGCTTTTCCTCTAGGAATCCCGCCTGGCTGTCCCAAGGAGGATGGGGGAAAATCCAGGGAAAACACACGGTGCTGGCTGCGGGAGAGAACAGGAATCAGAGAGAAATCCACTCAGACCCTTCTCCCTTAAGGAGCTAAAGGCTTCATCTCCAGGAGAAGGACATCATCTGAGGGCACTGGCGAAATACCATTACAGCTGGGGAAGGGAGCACCCCCAACCCCAGCCCCAGCCCCCCTGTCTCATCTATTTCAAAAAAAAAAAAAAAGCCTTACTCTGCATAGGAAAGGTCCTCAAGTTTGTAGACTGACAACACTGGTGGATTCTTGCTGCAGGTGAGGGACGGCAATAGGGGAGAGTCTTAGCCAGGAAGAGGGGCAGAAGCACTTGTGAAGGCTACACCCCAAGACACAGGCCTGCTGTGACTCCAGAGAGTGAGA